TCAAGTGTTGTTGGATAGGTTTGAAGAAGAAGACAAGAGAAAAATACTTCAAGTTACTTTTGATGGGCAATCAATCTTTTTTAATTCATACTTTAGTAATAGAAAGTTTGAGGCTGGTAACTCAACTTTCTTCTTGATTGACATATTTTTACATTATTTAAGCATCCTCATTTGTAATATCATCATGAAGTGTATTACAAACTCTGTGATGATCAGAAAATACTTAGTTCTCTCTAGCTCTTATTTTCTTCATGCTTGTTAGGTAGCAGAAGTTAGGTACTTCATTAGGATTAGTAAGGTAAGGCCTAACCCCCCTTGCTTGTACTTGTCCCTATTGATATTTTTTATGTTTAATAAAAGACCGCTAGACAGTTAATAAAAGACCACTAGACACTATCTAGCGGTAAATTTGTTTTTTTTTTAAAAAAAAATTCTCCAATTTCAACCCGTTTTAAAACTCTTTACTAAGATACGCTTCTATATTAAAGGTATGAATTATTATCTATTTAACATCTTTTAGGATTTATCTATCCATTTGTTACTTTTTCAAAAAAAAAAAATCTTGACCTGAAATTTGCATTTTGATTATAAAAGTTAAATATCACTATGTTAAAATTATTGAGATTAATCGGGTCAAGACCCAACCCGTTTTTTAGCCCATTTGAACCCAACCCATTTGAGCCCAAACTAAACTTGGGCAGGTCAAGACCCAACCCGATTTATATTTCAACCCATTTTAGTATCTCCAATTTCAACACAACCCTCCCATTTGACACCCCCAGTGGCAACCCTCTATCGCTACTATAGAGCAACATTTAGTAGCGACTTAGGTCGCCACAAAATAGATTAAAGTATCAGTGGCTGCAAACGTACAGCGCCACTAAAGTATTTGTAAAAAGATTTTGTCGCCACTAAAACTTAAATATTCAACAATTACAATGACCAAAATTATTATAGATTTTCCTGTGAAAACGTACTAAATTCATATAAATATTTATTTCCATCACTTGACAACCAATATTACGAGCATTTATTCAACAAACACTGAATGCATTTTTAAAGCCGAATTTTATAAATACTTCAATTATTAAAAAGTTAATTACAATATATCATTGTACAAATATACACATGACCCGAAAAACAAAATATTAAGTGCCTTGAAACTTTGCTTTGATCTACACCATTGTTTAAGAACCCTGTCCCTATTCAGGCACATTCAAGTTATCATAAGCTAGATGTCATATTTCAAGAACATTGCACACCATCTTTGTGGTAAAATCTAAAACACAAACAAATGAACTTACATAATTGTTCATTAAATAGTTGTGCTCAAATTCCACAAGCATGATGAGATTAACAGGTCTAGAGTTAAGATGGTATGCCTTCTGATGAGTTGAGAGAAAGAATTATATAATATATATCTAACTTTATCTAGTACTTTTTTTTTTTTTTTTGAGAAAGTAAATATTCACAAAAGATCATTCTACACAAAAACTAAAAAGTTTTACAATTTGCCTATAAAATCAACTAGAGTTACTACCTCCCCACCATCTTCTTTTACACCAAAAAAATAAAAGACTAAGACATTTCATTTTGATCTTCTGTGCGTTGCAGCTTTTATCTATACTTAGTACATATATATAGGATTTGACCTGGAAACATAGTTATCCAAAAATAGCATGGTGGAAGTTGTTGTTGAAAATATGTGGATAGCAAAATTTACATGATTCAGTAGTATATAAGAGAATGAATAATTTACAATCACGCCAGAAGTACACAATAAGCATATAACTTTCCCATCCAAATGATGAAAATTAGAGGAGTAGAAGATGCAAAGTAGATTGGAAGCAAGTAAGAAGAATTTCAAAAAGGGAAGGAAGGACACATCAACATTAAGAGTGCCTTACTTGTTGCATTATGGTCATGAAATCAACATTGTTCTTGAATCCTCTTCTCTACCTCTACTTTCACATGTGCACACTCCTCTTCTAACGTCATTTACAACTCACAGAAAATCCGTTCATTGTCTGAAACATAACATATAATTAAGGGGAAGTATCAAGAGTTAAACATTAAAATGATAAAAGGAAAAATAACATCAGATGTGCATTCAACAATCTCGGCATGCTTCCCTGAATATGAGATGTTAGTATATACTAAGAGTAAGTTAACTGCCATAATTGTAAACTCTAAGATGAAAGATGACATATGCATATGTAGAGAAATAGATATAATTGTAAACTCTGTTGCAACAACTGAACTCTTTATGGTAAGGCTACATGGATGGCCAAACACATACTCATCATTCACAACAGCAATAAGAGAGATTCTTTTGGAACACATCATGGATGATCTCCAACTCATAATCCTACGCCCAATAATTATATCAAGCACCTACAAAGAGCTATTCCCGGGATGGATTAAAGTTTTGATCAGGTATATATTACTACTCCCCAATTCCCATCAAGTGTTGTCTTATTTCCCAAGCCACTGCTCAACAGATCTTTTCATAAAAAAAAAGGAATGAATAATGTAGGGGATATATTTTATTGTCTATTAACTTTAAAGAAAATACTGTAAATATTTATTGACTAGATGCATTAACAGCATTAAACTCTAGTTAAGGAAAACAAATAATGAATGTTTGAAACATAACACTAGGAAACATAATTCTTTAAAATAAATATGACTAATTGAAAAACTAGAAACTAGTTATGCCAAGCAAATTTGCACAAAGGAAAGTGGAACAGTTAACAGCACACATATCCGTCATTAATCAAGTAGACAATAAAATCACATGTACTTTTCCTATTATCTATCAAATAATAGGAACTAGGCATCATGTTAGTTGGACACACAAATTTTCTAACTACAATCACTTAAGAATAACCATCTAGGCATACATATGATAAAATCAATTCGGAATCATCAGCAACTTATATTCTGAGATATGCAATTAATGATAAATAATTTGAATCACTCAAGTCAATGGTACAGGCTAAATTTATAGTTTCAGATATTAAAGTGGGCAAACTTGATACTACGTCAACATTTGCAAACTACTTTGAGAGGGCTTATTTCATCTATAAAGCTCATTCCATACTTGACAGTATACACAACATAAAATTAGAATATGATAATATTAAGATAGCTACCCCTTATATGAAGATGAAGCACACAAAATTTGAGATTAGACCAGAAATTTCAGCACTTAACAAAAATTTAAGAATCAAAAGAAGAATGGACAAGATATGCATTTCTCTAGCTCCATACCAGGGCAATTAAATCCGCAACAAGATCTATCAAATTAAAAGATTGACACCAAACTAATACATATAGCAACAATCATGCTTGACTTTTAGTGTGAAAATATGACCCAAAATTCATATCCCAAAACCACAAAAAGCCTTTGAAAGTTTCACCCAAATAAAACATAATACCAACTAAAAATCACAATAAAAACAACAAAATGTAGAAAATTAAGTTTCAGCTTACTAAGAGTATTGTTAAGACGGAGGTTATTACTCAATTTTATCGGAGGCTGAGAGGTTGAGCGTCAGACTGTTTTTGTGCGAAATTCTCAATATTCATGTAGATTTTCAAATGGGTAAAGAGGTTAGATGTTAAATTCGAGAAAACAAAGGTGAAATCATTAGTTAGAGCTTGGGGTGGAAAAAACTTACCCGCATACACCAAATTATTGCAACTTTTATTATTACGTGATTTAATGAAGTAAATCACATGTTAATTAATTAAAGTTAAGTAAAATGAACTATAAATTTAAACACATAACATGCATGTATTGGATTGGTGTATACATCCGGTCAGGGGCGGCACAACGTAATTGGGGGCCTAAAGCGAAATTTTAATTTGAGGCCTAAAATATAAACAAACTTCATATACGTATTTATTCAAAAAAAAAAATTCTTACACTATTTAAATGAAAATTATTAGTCTTTAATATTATTTTTTCAGTTATTAGTTTTAAGTAAGATTTTATCAACTCAACATTGAAAAATATCCTCTCAGTGAGGCAATTATTATATGAATTGTTAACATAATTCTATAAGTAATACGTTAGACAAATATTAAATAAAGATAAGAATTAGAACCATAGAATTTGACTCAAGAAGTTGATGACTTGGTATACCTCATTTTAATATGCTTGTAGAAATGCTTGAAACTAAAATTTAAAACGAAATAAAAAAGAATTTGTAATTCACTTTGTTCAACACTTTTCACTATTAATTCTTATTTTTAACAAAGTACAAAAATATTAAAGTGGATAAAATAATATATTTTTTAAAAGAATATACTTTTTATCATAAATAATCAATTTTTTCTTTAAAATTTTTTAACACATAATTTATTTTTGACAAAAAATTTGAGGCCCTCAAAATTTAGGGGCCTAAGGCAAAAGCCTTATTTTCCCAAGCATAGAGCCGGCCCTGCATCCGGTGTGCGTAAGTTTTACCCCTAGGGGTGTTCGTGGTTCGATTTGGATCGGTTATTGGTTAAAATCAAAACCAAACCAATCTAGTCGTTTTTTAAATTTCTAAAATCAAACCAAACCAAACGAAAAACATAATCGTCGATTTGGTTATTGTCGGTTTGGTTCGGTTTTTCTGTTTTTTTCTATCAAAAAGTAATAAAAAAATTTAAGGACATACGTATCTCGATAGACATGAATACCTAGTACATTAACAATCCACATGAAAACTACTATCGGTTCAATTAAGTAATACTAGAGTTATTATTACACGAACAAAGTGATTCAATTAAGAGAAAATGTGACTACCTTATGTGAGATAGGATAGGTAATGACTAAAATAAAGGATTTTAATGGACTTCGACTTAGGATTGTAATAGTAGGGCTAAAATTTAAGTGTTGGGTTTGAGAAAAAATGGTAAAGTTAAAGATTCAAGTTAATTAAAATTTAACAAAATATTTTTATTTTTATTTATGAATAATTATAAAATTTATATATCTAATTTATCGATTTGGTTTGGTTATTTTTGCGGTTTTTTCTTTGTAAAATCATAACCAAACCAAATAATATAGGTTTTCAAAATTTAAATCCAACCTAACCAACTAAACCAAATATCGGCTTTTTTAATTGGTTTGGTTCGAATTGCGGTTCGATTTGATTTTTTAACCATAACTAGGAGTGACAAACGAGCGGGTCGAGTCGAATATGAGTCGATCGAAAACTAGTTAAATAAAAATGGATAAAATACTTGACTCGACTCATATTTTAAATGGGTAAAAATAAGTTACCCAATGGATAATATGGATATCCATATTTACCTATATTATTATAGAGATCATGTTAAAAAAAGCTTCAAAAGCAAAAAATACTCTTCACCCCTCTCCCTAGACCCCACTCCACCCCCCCCCACCCCCAACTCCAACGCCTCAAAAAAAAAAATGTTTACTACTCCGACCCCCAACTCCAACGACACACACAAGATAATCTTTTTGGTCCTGTATCTATTTTTGTTACGTCCATCCTACATTCTTTTTTTTTTTGTGGATTTTAACTTATATATGGTGACAATGTTGATGTAAAAGAGTTGCACATTGTCAGTGTATAAAAATTAAATTCTCATTTTCTCGTGTAGCCTGAAAATTTGATAATGGATACTTGGGGTGACCTCCAGGTTTCTAATTTTGGATCGAGTAACTATTTTTCTCTTTACTTTCCATTGCTCTTTACCTTTGAAAAATGAAATCCTTTAACTCTTTCTTTCAATTTAGTAATGCATTGGAAACACAATTATTTGAGACTTCACTGAATTTGTTGACTAAGGGAATCTATATATCCTTATAGTCCTCCATTAATCCACAAAGAACTTACCTACATGCCTCTCCTTGTGGCTGTATGTCAGTATATGGTGGCGGGGATTTGAAAAGATGATAGAAGTGATATATCATGTTTTCTCTGCTGTCCTTTTGGTTCTAATTGTTTTTTTTGTGTCAACTCAATATTAAGTAGACCAATGTGCATCACATAGTCATATTGTTGTTTCAGTTGAAGACTAACTCATTAGCTCTCAATTGACTAGGATTGACAAACAAGAAAATAAGAGAATATATATTGCTTCATGATGAATCAGAAACAAGTTCCTTATTCAAGAATTTGTCAGCCTATAGCTTCATTCACAACTTAACAACTTATGTTTCTTTATGTTAAATAGAAGAATTTATTAACTTCTTATCCAATTTTCTTGTTCAAGAATTTTTGTTCGTATTCCAATCTAGCAATCTCTGAAAGTGAGAGAGAGTGAACATCAACCTTCATTTTGTGTTTTAATTTCACAATGAGTTGTTTTCCCTTTGTATGATTGTCTGGAGTTTGATATGCGCTTACCATATTCATGCTTTACTGGATGTTCATTTATGTCTTTTCAGGTTTTTGTTAAGCTTGGCGTCACACGAATACAGACAATTATGAACAACTAAATGACTGTCAATGATCGTTGCTACTTTGCATATATAAATACTGAAATAAACTCGATTCCCAACACAAACACTGATATAATATTTACTGGATACACATTACAACGTTTAATACACACAAAAAAGTAATAACACACTAATTACGGATAGATCAACATAGAAGAAGGTAACTAGAAGGGGATGAGATACTAGAACAAAGAAAGGGGATGAGAGATAACTGAAAGCCAAAGCTTTGATATAATTTGCATAACCGTTCTTTCTAATCCCTAGACCTTTTTTAACAATAGCTAATTGGGCCTGGATCCCATATAAAACTCTCCAGCATATTATAACTCGGCCCAATAATTCCATATAAATCAGTCTCATTCAAAATTCCTAACACATAGGCCCGTACAAAGTCGACTTGATTCACAACAATACTCCCATCCTCAATAAGAACCTTGTCCTCAAGGTTCGGGTAGAACAATATTGATATTATTACGGCAAACTTGTTAAGACCTGGATATGTGTTAAAAGTTGCTTTAACAAGTATTGTATCTTCTTTATCTTCCTGATCAATCCTTTGGAGGAAATATATCAATAGCCACTTGACTAAGGCAATATTAAATATGACATTCTCATCAACATTTGCATATGCTGTAATTGGAAATACATCAATACAGACTGACAGGAATTCCAATGACAATGTTGCTTCCATTTCGTTTTTAGTCAATACACTGATGTACTGGTTAATGTGGTTCATCATTGTATCCACATTATGATAAGCAACTTCAAGCTGAGACCATACAAATGTAACATAGGTCCAGAGAAAGGCATTAGCACTTGCCATTAATATACCACAAGGGGTTGGATAAAAGCAATAACTTTTTTTAAATTCAAGTTTTGCACATGCTAGATAGAACCATGAAGTAAGATTCTGAGCATTGCTCACTCCTTGGAATTCTTGCTGGACAACTATACGACACATATTGCATTTAATTTTATTATTACCATCCAAATCTTCAACCCATCTATATTTACCACATCGCTCTGTCGTCCACTTTGCAAGAACATGCTCATGTTCTTGTTCGAAGATTTCAAATAGTTGTTGGTGATCTACTTTCTGAGAATTCCAGTGACACACCATCCACTTTTCAATTCCAACACCAACAAGGAAGGATTCTCGCTGATGCACAGTTAATACGCAAATAGGTCTCTTAAGTTGCTTTATATTCACAAGAACATCTTGAGTTTGGATGTGGAACAAAATGCCAGTATTCAAATTGTTTAACTTCACAAACTGCCGATGTATTCCAGGATCCCATACATGTAAAATATACCCTTTCCAACTAAATTACTTTAAGACCCCAAACATTTAAGATCATAACCCTCACATTCAACAAGTTCAGGACGCATGTCCAAGGCTAAAATAATAGAGCAGCCAACATAGTTCCAGTTCCGACCATCATTAGTAACTTTGCTCATAAGTTTGGCATAATTGAAAGTGTAAGAAATAGAAGGCATCTCCTTCCAACGTTGAGCAAGCCTGACAGGGTAAGCAAACAATTGATTCCAACGATCATCTAAAGCTTTGCATTTATCAAACATGGAAAGGTCACATGTAGTAGATACTATAGAATCAATCCAGAATGAAGGCTTGTTTGCATTTGCAATCACAAATTCTATAGGTTTGTTTCTGATGGTTACAATTTCCTCTTCATCATTCTTGTCTTCATTTTCAACATCATCACCACAACTATTTTCAATTTTGGAAACAAAACTTACCAGATCATTAGGGGTAATGAAAAATTCAATAGGCTTACTGGATGTACAGAGAGAATTTGCATCTTTGTGCCTATCAGATGATTCATCGAACACCTTGTGTGCATTGGTATTGCTTTTGCATTCTGATTGTTCACCTTTATATTGCGATAAAAATGAATTGGTTATGTTTCTCCATTGTGGATGAACATATGTGTGACTTGGGAATAGTAAACTTGATTCACTGGGGCTATCCTCACAACAATTTTGGTACTCTGTCACATATGTTACATGTTCGAAATTAGCGAATCTCCCTCCCGTGGACTCAAATCCTTTTTGTTTAAATCGAATTCTCACCTTATCAGCAAAATGCGGCCAATCAATTAGTTGATTATTTC